TTAAAGTTTGACTACCAGCTGTTGGTAAGAGGTTGAATGACAGGAATTCTGTATTATCGGTGAAAATACACATTAGTATAATGCAAATGTACATTTGTATAAATACTTGGGAGAGCAATTTGGTAATACCCAACATTTCCATTTCTAGGAATACAACGTGAAGAATCTCTTTCACAAGGAGATACAGGAAGGCTGCATGCTTCAGAATTGTTTGTAACAGGAGAAATCAGAAACAACTAAAACCCTCCTAACAGAACAGGCAAATAAATGACCAATTTTTAGACAGTGGGATTTTATATGCAGCAGTTAAAATAAATGAACAAAACACAGGTATCAACATGGGTAAGTCTCAAAAACAGTACTGAGGGGAAAATAAAGGAAGGTGCAAAAGAATATATAAACTATGATATCATATATATGAAGTTAAGCATGCCAAATGACTACATGGTTTATGGAAATACATGTAAATTAAAGGCACAAAATTATTCCTGACAGTGCTGTATGCCAGTTTGGGTATAGGAGATGCCTGTGAGGAGAAAGGAAAGTGATGGGGTTAGGGTGGAGCAGTTCCAGAAGATACTCAGTTACAGCTATAACATTTTATTTCAAAAGTAAAACTAGCAGGAAATATGACAGAATGGTGAGTATGTTGATTATTATTCTTTGTAATTTCAGTGTGCCTAAAATATTTCATTTAAAAAGTGAGCAACAATAAACTTCCAAAAAGATGTCTTTTCACCTGCCTAGCATGAGGCCATGGGTTCAAACCCCAATACTAATATCACCAAAAAAACCCAAAGAAGACCTTTTGCTAATAGGTTTTCATAAGTGATAAAATTACTAATTAAATACTAAGATATCAAAAAATCACAAAAATGTCCAAATTCTCACTGTGACATTTATTTCAGTTTTAATTATGTGTTCATATTGTAAGTAAATAAATAAAAGATCTATCTGGACATAAATAACAAAGCCCTGACTATAGGATAAATGTGCACACCTGTGGACAAAGACTGGAAAGGATTAATACATAGGATATATATTAGGTGAAATATAATATATATTTGGGTGAAACTTGTTTGAATTTTTTTATTTTTTAAAATCTGATTTAATGAGTTGCAAATTGTTAAATGTATTATGGATGTTTTGGAAAGTTTTGTTTTTTTTACTGTAGAAATAATGTAGCAGCACAGATTTAAACAAATAATGCTCTAGAAATGCAAAGAAGTAGTTCTTCTAGATCTTCTGGATATTCACTCGCTTCTACTGAATGATCAGGTTAAGCAAACAGGCACACAATAAGATGACTTGGGTCAAATCACTATCTACACCCAGTTTTCAAGGGCCATGGCAGGGAAAAGTCACAGGGGAGTGATACTTGCTATCCCTTTAATTAAGGCGGGGCTTTTAAAACTCATTTGTTCCATTTGTGTCTTGAATCAATCAGATGAAATTCACCTTTTACATGGCCTGAATCCTGATAGCGCTGCACACTCGATAGGTAATTTAATCATGTCTGGTGTAGATGAGCACAAACTCAAATTAGCTACTGAAAGAGTTAGGCTTCTCAGAGATAGCTGTGCTTTTCCACTTTTATGCAAGAGCTGAGCATCGCCAACTGGCTACTTGGAGATGTTATTAAAAATTTAGTGAAAGAAACAAAGGTGTGCTCTGGTGTCTCTTGTTACCTTTTCTACTGTTACTCCAGCAGACAAAAGGCATAGAGCCTGCCTCATGAATAATGTGACACGGAATAGTCACAATCTATTTTTAATGGAGTCAGGTAATAACATTAAGAGAGAAATTTGCAATCTTCAAATTTCAGACAGTAACAGGCATAGTAATTTGTTTTGATTATGAACTGGTGATAGTGAGATAAAATATTTTTTCTCCAAAACAAGGCATACAGTTAACATCAAAATTACAACTCCTAGGCTGAGTGTGGTGGTACCCACCTGCAATCCAGCACTCAGGAAACTGAGGTAGGAGGATCAAAAATTTGAGGCCAGCCTGTGCTACATAGTAAGACCCTGCCTCAAAAAAAGTGATAATTCCTTATTTATATCATAAACGGGGAAGATGAAAATGGGCCAAATATTTTAAAGGTCATCAGGGAGAGAAGAAAAGAGACACCTAGATTTCAATCAGTTCAACTCACCCCTCAGTATATGTTTGTACTTTTTTGGGGGACAGAGGAGGCTGTATTAGGGTTGAACTCGGGGCCTTGCACTACTAATCAGGTGCTCTGTCACTTGAGTCCACTCCTAGCCCTTTTGGCTTTGTTGTTTTTTAGATAGGGTCTCAGCATTTATGCCTAGGCTGGCCTGGCCTTCAATTCCCCTATTTACACTTCCTGTGTAATTGGGATAACAGGTGAGAGCCACCATGCCCAGTTTTTGTTGGTTGAGATGGGGTCTCTTGAACTTTTTATCCCTGTTGAAACTCCCAATCTCTGCCTCCCAAGCAGCTAAGCTTACAGGCATAAGCCACCATGCCTGGCTACAATTTGTTACCCAGGTTGGAAATAACCAACCAGTACGCATGGAGACTTTTGTGGGAAGGATGTTTTGTCATCTTTATTCACTGGGAAGTTTGCCTCCCACCACACTGTGATGTGGTTATTGGATGCTGCTACTGTTCCTCAGCCTTCGTTCTGAAAAATGATCTTAAATTGCATTACAGAGTAAGCAAATTTAAATTCTGGACGAGACTAAACTGACCTGGAAAGACATGGTTTTGGAAACTGAAGGAGGACACTCAAGGACCAAGATTTGGAGGGATATGAGAAAGGCAGCATCAGAGTCCCTGAATCACTAACTCAGAAAGTCTTAGACTGGAGGTGTGGCTCAGCAGTAGAGTACTGGGTTCCATCCCCAGTACTGCAACGGGGGAAAAAGTTCCATGTTCCTCTGTTTTCTGTGTACTTAAGCAATTTCTCTTCCTTTTGTGCTGTACAGAGCAGAGCCAGTCCACAGGATGAAGCAGGAGTTTATTTTCAATCACTTTCTGTGTGCCAGTCACTGTTCTGTGGGCTGAAGATTCAGCAGTGACCAAATAAATGGAGCTCTACAAGATATTGTCCTCAGTGTTATGGTCCCTCCACCTAGACAGTGTCATCAGTACAGGGGGATTCAATCAGTATGTGTGAAGTTATTTGAATGGAAGCAGGCGATCTCCTGGTAGTCACCATGGGCCATGCGTGCCCTGAAGGTCTGGCTGGGAGTGTGTGGAGCACAGGCCGTAGTGATATAGACTAGGTTTCATTCTCTTATTCCGGTGGAATGGAGCCACAAATAGCCTGGATCCCCATTTCACTGCTCTCCATGCATCTTTAGCTTTATAATTGGTCACCTGTGAAGCAAACTCATGCTTTTTCTCCTCTCCAGCCTCCATGGAATAAAGTGATCAGAGTTGGATTAGGATGATAGAACCATGTCTACATTTTATGGTCAAGGAAACTGGTAAGAGAGAAGTCAAAGGATTTTCCCAAGGCACATGATGTAGCTGTGATAGAGCCTAGACTAAGACTCCAGTCTCTAGACCAAAGGCCTGTGATTTTTCTATTATCTAGGAGCATTCTGGCCTGTTTTTTAAAAATACACTGAAATTCTCATAGGAAGAGCTGATATCAGGGATCTTAGTTTTAAACACCTTCTAGTTTTTCGGTTAGGAAAGCAGTGTCTCTGAGACATAAAAGGAAACCAGAGCAATTGGATTTTACTATCTTTGGATGTTGGCCTGTTGGCTTCTCTTTCATACGCCACTACAAGTTTCCTTCAGTGCCAGCTTCACCACAGAAAAACAACGGTCTTTCTTAAATTCCCTACCTAAATGACAGGCAATCTGTAATAGTCTTAATACTTTATTAACTTAAAACATCACTCTAATAAATATGCACTAACAAACATAATGCACTCTGAAAGATATGAAAACATTTACAAACATCATCAAAGTAAAAATACCTCCTTTTCCCTACATGGTACACATGGAAAGCCAGAGTTAAAGCCAAAGTCTTCACTCCTACATGCCTACCAGTTCAGACATTTTAGAAATATCAGCTTAACAATAAAAGCTAAATATAACCTCAGTTACTTGCTGATTGATTGATAAAATCCAAACGGGTCAGAAGGGAAGGTTCAAGACTGTGTTGTTTTCTCAGAATTCCCTTGGAGGAAAAGAACAGACCCCAGACAGTTTGAGGGGTAGTTGTTAGCTCTGGAGAGGCAGGGGCTATGACTTTAATCTCTAGTTCCCTAGTACCTGGTGCATGACATTTAGCAACCAGTAGTCAATAAACATTTGCTGAATGAAAGAGTGATTCTGTACATGTCTTCACGTCCTCTGAGGAAACCCTCATGGGCCTCCTGCACAGAACACCTCCGATCCCTTCTCATCACCAAGTCCATTCTTTCTGCTTCTTACTGGGGCAGGCTGAATGGTACATTTGGTGATTTCAAGAGTGAGCTCCTTCCCTTAATCAGTTTCTGAACCAGTCTCAAGGAGGAGAACCGATTCCTCTAAGATTTATAGGCGGCATTGAACAGAAAGGGGTTATCAGGCCAACAGACTCCCAAGAAGATAAAAATAACACTTACTCTTCTTTCTAAATAAAAACATTAACATGTGTGTCCACTTGTAAATGGTGATTCCTCATCTTTCACTCGTATATTTTGGGGGAGTGCAGCAGGAAGGATGACACTCAAAGGACTTTCCTTTCTGCAACAGGGTTGAAATGGGAAGGACTGTAGGGTACAAGATTTTACCTGGTCCCACTTGACTTTGCATCTTTAGAAGTAGAGCCTAAAGTCCAGAGTTGCTGTGGGTTTTACTCTGGGTAAAAATTTGAAAAGATACCTCATCCCCACTGGCAGCTCACTCCAGGAAGAGCAAGGGAGATCACCCCGGAAGGATCTGCACACTGAATGGGAGGGGCAACCCTCCCCCAAGAAGTCAGAAGAAGCTGGAGGCAAGTGGGGAAGCTGCCTTTAGTAGTGTTGCACAGCTGCCACGTGCAGCCCACCAGGATACTCATTTAAGTCCATGCTGTGTTTCCCGGTGCCTCCGGAGATCCACCTTCCTTTGGAAGCCCTTCCCACACAGGTCGCAACCGAAGGGTTTGAAACCTGTGTGCTTGCGGCTGTGAGTGATGAGGTTAGAGCTCTGGCTGAATGCTTTGCCACACACCTGGCACTTGTGAGGCTTCTCACCTGCGGGGATGGAAGGGAGAGGAGAGGAAGTACAAGTCTGTGATACAGCTAGAGGGGATCCACTGTGACCCACATGCACTTGGCAGCACTATCTAAGACATTTAAGCAACTTGTAATGTGTTACAGCATGAACTAACTCCCAGACTATAACTTGGTCCTAAGAAGCCATGGGTGTACCAGGTGGAAGGCAGACTTTCTAACTGGGGGTTCCCAGCTAAAGGCCTCAAACTTCTTCCTGTTAAGCGGAAATACAGCAAAGGCCATGTGGGCTCCTCAGCTGAAAACGCCCTGGGAAGACTCCCCTGACTTGAGAAGCAGATGTTCAAACAGGAGGTGGGAGGAGCTGTCCTATAAACCATGTGACTCCTCTAATTCAGAGGAACTTTTCAAATCTGAGTTTCCAAATGGGTGTTGGTTTTGTATGGACCGGTGAACCTGTCCTCCTTCTTGCTCTTGAAGAACTACAGAAAGTTTCTGAGGCACAGACATTTCTCTTATTTTAAAAAATCCACATTTAAGCCACCAAGATTTCTTAAGGTAGCCAATCCTTTTCATCTTGGTTCTACTTTCTCTGAGGTTAGTCACAAGATTCTTTGGCAACTCTTCACCACAGATTAGTAAGTGACAGAACATGAAAAGGTTTTGTCTTTTCCCCATCTCATGTGCTGTCTACAATTTCCAAATAGTCCCAGCATGGCATTATCATGGGGACTCAGCCTTCAAAAAAAAGTGCAAAATGACCAAAATTTGCTTTTGAGGAACTCTCTGTCCCTCTTGATACATTTCCTTCTCTCTTCATGCTTCAAATTTCTTGGGTAAAGAATCACTTAACAAAACATATCCTATCCCCTTTTAGTGCCAAACAAATCCGAGAAATGACTTCTAGCTATAAATGTTTGTAAATGTTTGATTAGGGCTTAATGTTTCCTTCAGTCAAGAACCTAGTTGCATTTTGATAAGTGGCTTGAATACCCTTCCTTCAAAGGAGTAAATTATATGGAAATTTATGGTGAGGGGCATAATTAAAATAGCATTTTTCTAAGTTTCTGATGCAAACATCTATACTGTCCAAGCATATTTACAAATGTTGGTAGGTGTTTCGAACACACCGTGATTTGTTTTAAATGACTATTTATATTCTACAGTAAAACTGGCAGAAATTCTGGGTCTCACGTAACTGTCTTGCTGACTATAAAGAGAGAGAGTCTCTTGAAGGCAAGAAAATCACTTTAGTCTGTGAACGTCTGGCATTCAACCTCCTCCCCACTGCACTTAAAGTGCTAAGAGTCCAGGATTGGAAGCAGACCATTCGATGACTCCATGATTCACACAGCCTGACTCTAGGTAAGTTATTCAGTGTCTCTGAGTTTCTGGAGGATAAGAGGAGCTCATTTTACTTTATGGGGTGTAGGAAGGATCAAATGAAATGACAGCTTTGAAAGGCTTTGTAAATTATAGAGAATTATAATAGGTAGGAATTATCAGTATTAAAGCATCAAATTGTTGATATTTTGAAAAGGGCAAAAAGCAAAGACAAGTTTTCTGTATCCATCAACTCCCATGACTCTGAAAGTATAGTAATAAACAGGTCAAGAGCATAGATATCTGAGAGGTCAGACAGACCTGAATTTGAGCCCTGGCCCAGCCAAGTTTATCAGTGTAAACTTGAACAGGTTACTCAATCCTTCTATGCCTCACTTTCCTTATCTCTAAAATGGGGCTAAGGAATAGTTTCTGTCTATTGAAGTAGTGAGCAGAAGCTGAGATGATGCACTTAAAAAGTGCTTAGCAGAGACCTTAGTGATATTTGCCATTATTTTTCCTCTACAAGTAAGTTCTCAGACTCCTAAAACTATGGCAGAAAGGCCACAAGTTCCTCCCTCAAAAGGCTGGGTTGGAGTCCTGCAGAAAGTTCTCAGCAACACTCCAGGAGGACCCAGAGCAGGCAACAGTTGGAACAGCTGCTAAACTAGAGGAAAATATTCTTTCTAAGGATAGAGAACATGCAAGCTGGCCTGCTGGTCCTTTAGACAAAACCCAGAATTGAAGTCCCTCTGGAGAGAACCGCATTTGTGAATGAGAGTAAAAGGCTCTATTTTAACACATGCAGTGATTAACTCCATCTGGAAAGCCTACTCTACCACTCACTGAGGCTAGGATATCAGGGCAGATAAGTTATGTTGGCCTCAGGGTGTTTCCTACAAGCTGAGGACCTTCAGCTCACCTGTGTGAATGAAGGTGTGTTTCTTCATGTCTGACTTCTGGTGGAACCTCTTGCCACAGTACTGACAGGGATAGGGCCGGGTGTCTGAGTGAATGAGCAGGTGTGTGGATAGCGTGGATGACCTCTTGAAGCTCTTGCCACAGATCTTACAGTCAAAGCTACGTTCCTGCAGAAAGAAAGATCAGCACTCCTTCTGCAGTCACCTAGGTGCCACCTGCTCACCACTAATCTGACCCTGAACTCCCACAGCCAGACCTCCCTTTCTGTATAGCCTTCCTCCCTCCATTGACTTCCAATCTGCAAGCTCTCCTCTCTCTCATTTAACACTTTTCCCACCAAAACACTTTTCAGCCACAACCCTCCACACCCCATGGTAGAAACTTTCCACCTTGCATTTTTGACACCCATTTACACACACTTCTCCACCCTTCTCAACCAGAGGCTTAGATCTCAGCCACTTAAATGCCCCCAATCCCTTAGGTACTGTGGGTGTCAGAGGAGGTGGGTTGATGTTCTTTTAAGCTAATAAATCTTTGTAAATAAGCATTCTCCTGTCACAGTTATTTGTGTATTTGTTTGCTTATCTACCCTCTTTTTCTCTTGGCTAAACTGCAATCTCCATGCAGACATCCTGTCAAGAACCTGGTATGCTATAGGATTCTCAAGTACTTGGCATCTGAAAGTCAGGCAACAATGAATGAATGAAAGAATAGCAGGATAGTTGTGCTACTGGATGCTCAAAAGAGCTGAGATCTTCCCCCTTTTCAGGCGGGAAGGGTCAATGCAGATTAAGTGACAACCATTTGGTGAAAAGAATCCAGGCAAAGAAACAGAGCTAATGAACCTGATATATCGGCAGCAAGCATCAGTGCACACAAACCTTCTTCAAACCTAAAAGAATGATGGAGCTCACACGCTAGACGCTCCCCATGAAGTGACAACACAGTCTAAAGCTGCCTCAAGGCCTGAGCCGGCTACCAGCGCCTTTCCCTCCGCGCCTACACCAGGGTGAGGGGAGCTGAGGAGTCTGGAGGCAGTGGGGGAGAAAACTAGTAGGCTGACAGATGTTGGTGCTACGTGGAGGGCAGGACGCTCAGAAGGTCCCCAGGGCGAAAACCTGGGCAGGGAGGTGGGCGGCCGCGCGCCCCGCTCTTACCTGCGAGTGCACGGCTTTGTGCTGCTCCAGGCTCACCGCGTGCCCGAAGGTCTTGCCGCACATCTCGCAGGCAAAGGGTCTCGTGCCGCTGTGGGACCTGCGCACGTGCACCTCGAGCCCATGCGGCGTGGAGAACACCTGAGGCGGGTGGGGCCGGGGAGAAGGCCGCTGAGAGGGGCCGCGGGGTGCGGGCGCTGGCGGGAGGAGGGCCAGGGACGCAGGCGCGGGGCTGACCAGGCCGGGCGCACAGGAGCCTCACCTTGCTGCACTTAATGCACTTGTAGGAGCCGCCGCCCAGGAGTAGGCGGGTGCACAGCAGCTCCGACTCCACCTTGACGCCAGCGCCCTTGTCCACGTGTAGCTCGTGGCCGCGTTCTGGGTACAGTCGGCCAGCCGCTGCCGTCTGCCGCTCGTACAGCCCCGCCGCTGCAGGACCAAAGTCACCGTAGAGCCCCAGGCCTGTGCCGCCTCCGGCGCCGCCTCCTGCGCTGCAGTTCCCTGGGGACCCGACCCCAGCGCCGCCCGCAGCCCTCTCTGGGCCATAGAGCGCGGCCGGGTGGCCAGGCTCTGGGGTGCGCTCGCAGAAGAGGCCCAGGCCCGCCCTGCGCTCCAGGGCCGCGCACGGCCGATAGCTCTGCACCAGGTGCCTCAGGTCAGAACCCGCCAGGCCACTCCAAGAGTACGGCTTGAAAGGCAGGGGGAAGAGCTGGGCTTCATCTGGGGACTGGCACATCGACTTCTCCGAGGCTGTGGAGGCACAAGAGGACGTGGGGTCAGGTTTAAGGCTGCGGGGCAGGGCCGAGAGGCGATTGCCCACGCTGTGCGCTCGCTACTGCTGGGCGCACAGCCTCGTTAGAACGCTGGGTACGCAGGGACCGAGCTAGGTGCCAGTGGTAGTGCAGCAGTCTGATGCTAAATGACGTCGGGTGAGGAGCTCGAGAGCAGAGGAAGCGCCCGGCTTTAGGAAGGTCATTTTTGGCCAGTCCCCCGGCACTAGGTCGTCTTACAGCGAGAAGCGCGTCCATAAAAGCTCTGAGCCCCAGTCGGCGCTTGTGGGCAAGAGGGTCCAGCCACTAGCGCCGGCCTGCTCCAAGCACCTCTGTGTTTCCACGCAATCTTTTTTCTTCCCAGAATCCAAGATGAAGGAGGGGGAGGGCCGATAAAATGAGATCTGACAAAGCCGAAAGGCGTTAAGGTTCCTCAAAGTTAAGTGCCTGGTGCAGGGAGCCAAGGGGCGCCCAAAACTCCCAATTCCCATTCCTGTTAAGCGCTCGATACGGGAAAACGAATTCCTTAGAGAACTGGTTTAAAATTAGTACAGTTGAGCATCCACCTTCAGGATAGTTTTTTTGAATCCTAGGCCTGCTGCACCACCCTCCGGGAATTTTGTTAAAATCGGATGTCCAACGAATTGGAGCGCAAAAGTATTTACTAGTGTGTTTACGCAGATGCCCGCATGCTCCTGCACCCCGAGTTTCTGTCAGGGGTGGGTCATACACAGCCAGGAAGAGCCTCCACCGCGGGCTCCCAGACACGCTCGCTGGAGCTGCGGCTCTAGTAGGGTCACTGAGTGTGGGATTGTGGCGGGCCGGGGGGGGGGGGGGGGGGGGAGGCAAGGGGTGTCAGCAAGTGTAATCTGAAATAACCAGTCCTTGACAGGACCGGGCTAGCCTGCTCCTTTCTTACTGTTGCCTGGGCTAAGAAGCCCCCACCCACCGTACAGTCACTTGCTTTGCAGGAAGCTCGATTGCTTGCTGGAAATGAAACCCAACAGGCTGGTCCCCAGCCTGGGCCATCTTGGCAGAACAAAAAATGTTCTGTGCTGAGATTCTTCTCACTAGCCCCTTTCCTGCTGGGCGTCGGGTTCTGGAGGGCTCTGACTACCCAGGTGTCCCTTCGTTTCAGGTCCGCGGGGTGAGCCGTGGGGGTCTGGATTCTAGAGCCCTAATTCTTTCTAAACAACCAACTTTGGTCAGAAAACGAAACGTCAGCGTGGCTGCCAGTAGAGCCGACTGCTTTGTTTTCTCTCACAGACCAGCTCCACGCAAACGAATGTAAGGGACGAACAGCCATGCCCGCCATGAAAGGCACAAGCTGTCTTAGCCCCAGAGGAGCCGGTTGCCGCTGGGCCCCATTCCCCCCTCCTCCCCGCAAAAAAAAAACAAGGTCCACCTCGGGGTTGAGACTCCTACACTCAGCATTTCTGCGCCTAAGGTCGGGCTAGTTTCCTTCCGCGCTGCGGGGTCCCTGGGGAGCCGACCACAACACCTCCCAACAGGTCCCTACCTGGAGACACGGAGGGAGAAGGAGGCCTCCAGAAGTCCTCGAATTCCGAGCTCCGATCGCAGACACTGCCCTCGCAGCTGTCCGGGGACGCGGACGCTCTGTCTGGAGCCTCCGTCAGCTGAGACTCTGGAGACAAACGGTCCGGGGGTTCTGCCTTCGGGTCGCCTGCACTCAAAGTGCTGTCTGCATACAGAAGTCAGGACAGAAGTCAGGCCGAGCCCCGTTGAGCCTGAGGGTTCTGAAGTGCGACCCCCTCCCCCGATCGTGGCCCCTAGACGACAAGGTCAGGAGGAACAGGGACCCTAGGAAACAAAGGCAGCATCGGGGGCGTTGGGGCCGCCTCCCCCTGTTCCTGGGGAATGATGCGGCTGGGCTCAGAGTCGGCGTCCCCCGGGCAGACCCGCTTGGCCCCCGCGCGCCTCGCACCTGCTCTGCCGGGCGCCGGTACAGTCTCCAAACGGAGCGAGTAGTCTGGTCCCGGGGAGCGCGGTTGGTGGTAGCTGTGAGCCTTCTTGCTCTTGACTAGGAAAGAACGCGGCATGGTGGCCCGCCGCTTTCCCCGCTCCGCAAGGATTCCTAGAGCCGCTGTCAGCTCACGCTCACTTCAAGTGCTGACAGGAGGGGAGAATCGGGTGGAAACGCCGGTCAGCTCCCTTGGGCCGGAGACTGGGCACCCGGGCGGAGGGAGAGCGCGCGCCAGGGAGGAGCGAAGGCCCGGGGAGGAGGGGCTTGGCCCCCAGGCACCGCGCTCACCAGGTGGCACTCGCACAGGTGGCGCGAGTCCTGTCCTCCGCCGCTACTGACACAACTCGGTGGTAAAACCAGTCCCTGGACTCTGGTTCAGGCTTCTTTCCTCTCCCCTCCACCGCTCAGGACCCTCTAGTTCCCTAGGAAAGCTCGCTGCTCACTCTCTTCAGGGAGCATAGTCCTCAGCAGTTCCGTTATCCCAACTCCACCAGTCACTGCCTAGGTTCGGCTTTGGGACTGGGACGCGCGGAACTGTTTAGCGGCCCAAGATGCGTCTTTGGTAGGGACCCGGAAGGGGCAAAGAGCCAAGACCTCAAACTGAAATGAAAGAGGGGCGGGGGCGCAGAGCTCTAGGCAAGGCTGACAGAGGGGACTGGGGTGGGAACAGGGACAGTAGCAGAGGGACTGGGTGCGGCAAAGGCTCCCCCCCAGGCGGGAAGGCAGAGGATCTGGAAAGTGGGACGGATGGCGGTAAATGACCAACCCCTGCCCCGGGAGAAACTCGCTCCTCACTCGTGATCTCTACAGGAAAAAGTTGGCCTCGAAACCAGGGGTAAAGCGGGCACCGGCCATGGCTGCGACCGCAGCGAGACACCCAAGATCCAAAAAGCCTAACCTAGGAAACCAGTCCCTAGAAAAAAAGCCCTTTCTGTTTGGCTCACCAAAAATCTTGTCCTAGGAAAGTGGAGTCTGAACCGTGCCCGCCGACTGGGAAATGCGCAGTGCCTGAGTCCGTGGAGCACCGACGGCTTAGGGGACAAGAAAGCCGAGGTTGGGAAGTGAGCCCAGAAGGGAGCTAGCTGTCCGCGGCGTCGCTCTCATTAACCCCCAATCAGTTCACCTAATCTCGGGTCGAAACCTGAGCCCGGCGGGGAGGCGGGGCTGCGACTCCCGCTCTGCTCCAGGCTGGCGCAGGGGCGGGACCCCGCCGCCAAGGTCTGGGGTAAATGAATCTCCCTTCTTCTCCAGCCTCGGCGACGGGGACCGAGCTCTCAGGCGAGCTGGAACCTTGTCAAGTATAGCAGCTCGGCGAAACCTCGGCTAGTTCACAAACCAGGGCAGGAGGACTCCAGGCCCAGGCAGGACCCCTGCTCCTCGGGCGTCGTGCAGTTTAGACTACAAAGTTGGGAACCGCTGCGTTCCAACCTAAGTCTGTGCGTCTGCGCTCCCGGCTCAAAACAAGTCATCCGAGACTCAGTCCCTCGAGGGCGCGCTCCCCTAACCCCACACCCCCAGCCATATTTTGTCCCCTTCCCTAGAGGAGTGGGGATAGGCCTGGGAGACAAGACGGCTGGGAGTTGTCGCGGGGGCGCCCAGCGACGTTTCCCGCGATCTACGCGGTAGAATGTCCTGAGGGGTGCCCGCTTTCATCCAGTTGTGCTCTAAGGGCCGGGGCACTGCCACTTGTTTTTCCTGCACTCCCTGGCCGAATAACTGGACGCCGGAAACGCCAAAAACCAGTTATTAAAACAACCATGAAATCTGGAAGGAAAGGAAAACGATTGAAACGATCCCGCTGCAGCTTAGACCTGCGTTAGCCGCGAGCAACACGGATAGGAAACAGAAGTACTGTCCGCTCACACGCTGGGTCTGGGCTGTCAGGGACCACGAGGGACCTGGTAGCCGTAAAGGCGACCTCTTCACTCAGGGCACAAACCTCTCTCGCACCCTGGCTGGCTTTACTGGCTGCTGGGAGGAGGGAGGGCGGTTAGTAGGGCTGAGCGAGTGGGAAGGCGACCTCGCGCTGCAGCTGGCGTACAGGGGGCGGGGCGGACCCTCCTCGCACGCCTGCCGGAGGGCCTTTCCCCATTTCTGAGCCGGGAAGGCGGGAGCTGGAGGCGCTCAGGGGGCAGTCTCGGGAGCCCAGCTGCCCCTGCCACCCTAGAAGTTTCCTTCCTGGTGGATCCCACTCCCCGAGACACCAAACCCTTGGCGCGTGTTCCCTGCTCCAAATTTCCAGCCCCACTACCCAGGTCCCGCCGGAACCTAGCGGCCCGCGCTTTCACGACTCCAGCAGAGCAGCAGGTGGGAACCCGCCTGCGCCCTTTGGACGCCCCCGCAGTATCAGTGCGCTGCCAGTCTTCGCGGTCGCCCCCGCTAGGACAGGGGGCGCAGGAGAGGCTCAACAAACCTACCTGCGAGGTCAAGGCGCGGGCACCGCACTCCCGAGAGTTTTCAAACGGAATCTTGCTTTCGGGAGAGACCGATCTCTCTCTCTTTCTTTTTTTTAATCTCCTTCCGAGCTCAGCCCCCCAAACCACAAGCTTCACTTCCTGAGCGTTACTGAGTAGCTCGCTAGCCCTCTCAGACCTATTCCCCATCCCCCAGTGGGGCGGCGGGGCGCGCTCCTCCTTTGCGCAAGTGGTCAGGAGGCGGCCAGGGGGCCGGGTCTTTCCAGGCGGCTTGCAAGACACCCATTCACAGCCCTCCCTATGTCTTCTGTGTGGGACGGCGGGGCCATCGATGGGGAACCCAGAAGTCTGGACAGCCAGACATTAAAAATGGCTAGAAAGAAAATTGAACTATTCTTGGCTCCGGGGAAGACTTCCGCAGCGAGAAGAAGTCACAGATTCAGGACACAGATTGACTGGAGCGGCGAGGGTGGGGGTGCTCCGTTCGGAGGAGGCCTCCCAGCCCCTCTGGCGTGGGCACCCCACAGCTCCACGCCTGCTTGGGCTGCGCCGTCCCCGGATGGGGCCGTGAATCACCCGCCCGTGGTGTCGCCGGCCTGGAGCCCGGCTAGTGGCCACGGCGTCCGCAGAGCGAAACCTGCCCCGCGGCCCCGAAATAGCTTGTTGTGGAAACACTTCGGGATAAATACGCCCAACGAGGCTGAAAATACCTTGACACCCAATCCGAGAGGTTTGCTCATTTCCCTTCGGATTTAGGTAATAGTTAAATTTGGAAGAGGTGGGCGAGCGCCGAGCCCCCGGCGGAGAGGGCCCGGGCGGCGCGTCCCTCGGGCGCCCGGCGGGGCGGTGGGCGCGCCCCCCTGCGTGGAGCTCGCGCGCGCTTGGCCCGCCGACAGCCTCCCGCTAATTTCCGGTGGTCGGAGCTGCGAAATTAAAGGCTGCGGGCGGAGGGGGTGGGCTCGCGCGGGGGCGGCGAGGACACGGCTCTGCTCGCCCCGCCCGGCTGCCAAGTCTGGGAGAGCGGACCTGGTGCACCGGCTCTGCCAACCGCTTGACGCCGCGCCCCGGCACATGGCCCTGGGGCGCGGGAGTAAACCGCCATAAATAGCATAACCCTGAGGATTATTGAAAAGTTAAGTTTCATACGGAGTGAATTGTATGTTTCATGAGGTTAGGCATCGAATCTTCATTGTTATGGCCACCACAGCCTCCTAACGATGTCTTTGGTCCGAGAAAGTGAATGAGAGGATTTAACTAATTCTATTGACAGAACAGGAAAACGCCCTCAAAACCCTCACCATCAAACAAATAACAGATACAACAACCTCCAGCCTCAACTGTATACCCTGATCCATATTCCTTGTGGCCGGTTGGGGATACCCAAAGCCTACACTTTTTCCTGATGGGGTGGATATCGCATCACTTTGCTTTTCGAAGTGAATTGAGTTGGATTTTGATCACTGTTTTGTACAATAATCCTCTAATATCAGACAATAGGGGAAGGAGAGTGATCAGCCTTTCAAAGTAATTACCATATTTTAAAGGTTTTGTTTTGTTGGTGCTGCAGAGTGATCCCTTACTAAGCACTTGGTGTAGCACTGAGCTACACTCTCAGCCCTAACTTCCATATTTTGCATCAATCCAAAATTGTCATGAGGAAAAACAAACTCTTAAAGCCCTTTCCCTAGGGAAAAAAATAAGTGATTTTAATTTTGCATGGTAAAATTTAAAACTCGTGGAAGACATTTGATTAGCGTAACAGTGCTTCAAGCATGTCTTATTAGACATTTTATTCACAATGGCCTGTGCCACTACTGTATGCCATCATAATCGTCTGCCTATCCTTGCCCTGTTCATCTGCTCAACACACCCTTTCTTTATAAATAAGTGCAGAGGGAAGCAATCTGAGAAAGATTACAAATACTGAATTCGCTGAAGAGAAATTAAGCACATTCTTACTAATACTTTATTTCTTGTGTGCTTTGTCCTGGCCTAAGGTGTAAAAATCTCAAAGTAGTGCAAAACAGATCTTTCCCTCTTTTATCTTCTTCAACGGGAGAAAAAGGCAAAATTTTAAAAGAAAATGACAAATACAACAGAATAAAATTTGATTTACCAAGTTACAGAGAATTGGTGGAGCCATTTCCTTTGTGTATTATTAAGTTCAAAGTCAAAATTTCTTGACAAGGTGCTGCTACTATTCAGTAGTTTAGTTGAGTGTTGCTGTTTGAAGTCTCAGGAAATTTGGGGGAGGCTATGATGGGCAATATCGCCATGGAATAAATTCCTTTCTTTTAGATTAAATCGAGTCTTCTTGTTTTCCATTTGTTCTTAGCAGCCTCTTGGGACTTCTGAGTTTGCAAAATAAAACTGGCAACTGGGACAGGGTCACTCAGAAAGGAGCAGGTGGGAGGCAGATCGTTCTGAATCCCCCTTTATATCTTTTACATTTGAATCCAAGGATGCATGACTATTCTAAATTAGTATACACAAAATATTCAACTAGTGAAGTCAGGATATTTCTCAGGTGCATAGTGTCCCGTGATTTCCACCCTTGGGAGAGCCTAGGAGAAAGTTAAGAAGACGGGGACCCAGAAAGGTTAAGAAGCTTGCAAAGAAGCAGCAAAGAGCCAGAAGTGGGAGTAATGCTACAATGAACCTGTCTCTGACCCTCATCAATCCACTTTACCTCTTGTTTACTACTGAACTTTACTGAGGGTAAAGGTAGCACCCTGCCATGCGCAGTTTTTACAGCTAGAAAGAATCTTCTCTCCCACATATTCTGTTGCAAGTGGAAGAGATCTAATGGTAAGGAAAGGATGGATACACTTTGGCATAATTTTCTATAAGTAGGGGCTTTACCCCAAAAATGATTTTACATTTACTTATTTTTTCCGAGCAATAACAGCAATGCATCTGTAGATGTCTAATATGATACAAGCTCATATTGCAAACATTTCCAGGTTCTGGCTAGTCGCCCATTTATTTCAAGCAGCATCTCGTAGATCAGAATTTCCCTACAACAAAAGATCTGAGCCAAGTGTGATGGCATGTGCCAGCAGTGAGGCCAGCCTGGGCTACAGAGTGAGAACCTGTCTCAAAAAAAAAAAAAAGATTTGAGGTATTTAAAAAAGAATATATAAGAAGATATTACTAATCTCTTGTTTATTTTTCTTAATAATTTACAATTATGGTGTTACTGTACTTGTGAGGGGGGCATGGGAAAAGCTGATGATTCTGAAACCTCGCAGAAGAGCGATGCTGGCATTCCCAGCTGACATTTCTTCAGTGTTTGCCTCATTTGATCTTCACAATGATGTTAACAGAGGGAAAAAAAGAGTTCAGGCCATTTTACTGTCAGATATAACCATCAATCTCTGCTCTGCCAGTACTAGACTGTGACCGTGGGCATGATAGCTCATCTCTACCAGCCTCAGTTTCTCACCTGGAAGAGAAGAAAGTTGTAGAACTGAGGAGTGATCCTTTGATTTCCACTCTTCACAGGCTCATCTGGGTGGCAAGAAGGAAAGAAGCTACAAGCTAGGGTGTTCTAAATTTTTTTAA